TATCTATCTATCTATCTATCTATCTATCTATCTATCTATCTATCTCTATCTATCTATGTCTATATATACATTCCCAAAGCTATATATATATGTTTATAAGAAATGTTTCCAACTTCCAAAGAGAAAGAAAGATTGGATTTATAAATATACTGATAATGAAAACAACAGTACATGTGGAAGACCATAGAAAAATTGATAAATTTGAGTTATGGTGTTGGAGAAGAATATTGAAAGTACCATGGAGTGCTAGAAAAACAAAGAAATTGGTGCTAGAAGTGCAGCCAGAATGCTCCGTAGATGCTAGGATGGTGACACTTTGTCTCTAATACTTTGGACATATTATTAAGAGGGATCAGTCCCAGGAGAAGGACATAATGCTTGGTGAAGTGAAGGGTCCGTTACAAAGAAGAAGACCTCAACAAGATGATTTGGCACAGTAGCAACACTAATGGGCTGAAGTGTAACAAAAATTGTGAGGTTGGAGCAGAACTGGGCAGTGTTTCATTCTGTGGTTCATAGTGTTGCTGTTAGTCAGAACCAAGACAATGGCTCCTAACAACAACAACCACCTTCTGCATATATTTACTTCAGGGCTTTCCTGCCCACTGGTACCTACTTTGTTGCCTAAATAACAGGCAGAAAGCTCTAGGAAAGTAGCATTCCTCAGGAGCACCCTTACACCAGTGACTGAGAGGAGCTGACACAAAGCTATTCCTGTCCCTTTGCTCTTCAGGTTGTGTAACAACTCTAGAGTGCCAGATTTCCCAATGGGATTAAGCTCCCGTTATCCTATGCTAGTTACCTTTCCTTCTCCATATTGTCCTGTATCAAGGTTTCTTGACATCATCTCTAGGAAGAAAAAAAAAATTCCTGTTTCCTTTCAAATGTTTGTTTTCGGGTCTGATTCTTGGAAAACCTAAAACTAAGATAAAATTTTTACATAAAAATTTCCCCAAACTAATTAACTTTAATTTCCAGGTTGAAAGGCTTGCCTTTCAAGTGTCAGGCACAATAAGTGAAAATAAGGCCCACATCTAGGTATATTGTAATTAAATTTAAGAACACCAGAGGCAAGGTGAAGACCTTAGAATTGTCAAAGAGAGAGAAAAAGATTTCATAATAAGGATTAAGAATCAGAAAGGTATCATAATTTTCAACAGTCATTCCCAAAGCTAAAAGAAAATGGAATAATGCTTTCAAAACTCTGAAAGAAAACAATATGGAAAATAGAATTCTATATTCATCCATCAAGTTTAAAAACAGAAAAAAGACATTCATAGCTCAAAATCACATTTTCTTCATTAGTTAACAGGAAACTACCCCCCAAAATTATTAAATGAATCAGGAAAAAAAAGAGAGACAAATAAATATTGAAAAACTAAGCAGACCAGAAGAGGAGGCAGTTAGTACCTCCATGGGGTGAAGGTAGGGAAGCTCTGTGATAGAATGAATAAAATCAAAGGGAACCACTCACATCAGCAGCAAAATTCATATAGTCGAAATGATATAAACACCAGTTTTTTAAACAAAAATACACTATAACTATATTGTGACGGTGGAAGCTGAGGGGTTAAGGGTACAATTGTTACAGGAAGTGATACATGTCTAAAGTCATTAACATACAACACAGTAATACAAGGGGACTTCAGAAACCTCATGGAAAAATTCCATTATCCCTTAATTCCACTCCTCCACAAACTTTTTGAAGCAGCCTCATATTATTTTACAAATAAATATTTAAGTATCAGAAGAAACAGATAAGAGAGTTGAAAGTGGAAAGTGGGGAGGTGGGGGAGTGTTGGGAGACAGTTAAAGGGTTGTAAGGTTTTTGTTACTAAGCCTTTTAGTATTATTTGAAAAAGATAAAATCTATGTTTAAAAAATAAATTTTATATGTGATTTTTATCTCATGTTGCTGAGACCCACAAGATCAGGGTTAAATCACATGGTTTAACATGGAGAAAATAATGTCTTGTACTTTCTCATTAGAAAGAATCCCTAAAGCAACTCCTACTGTCTACCCCAAGTGACTACCATTGTAGGCCCCAATGTCTGCCACTGTAACCTTTCTTCCCACCACTCTCAGATGTAAGTTTTAGTTCTTTGGTAAAACAAGACAGTTCTCACATCATTCAGAGACTCATGCTGTATGCTTTGCTGGGAACACCCTCTCGACAACACCCAACCTTTAAGATTCTTCTCAACCCTCATGACCCTTTTCATGAAGACTTAACCTTGCTCCAAGGTATGACACTTAACAAACACAACAAAATTCCCTTGTCCCTAATCCTGTATTAAAGCACACATTATACTGTATTTTCATTTTGTCTTTTCTGCATAAGTCTGCACCTGATTTGGATCCCTTGAGGACAGGGACCCACCTTGTCTTTGTAATCATAGTACTTACCACATAACTGTCACTCAAAATTGGTAGAGTGAATGAAAAAAAAAAATGAATGGGGTGGGGGTGGATTTAGAGAACAAGAAAGGGAAAAAAGGGTGAGGGACTCTAAAATTCAATCATCAATCAATAAAAAATATTTCTTAAATGCTTGGCTGGGGCTGCTCCTTACCTCACAAGAATCTTAGAAGAAAATGAATTTCCATTGGCTGGAGTGGATTAAGGCTGGCAACAATCATGTCTGGATTTAAAATATTGTCTGTAATTAATACATATTGTTTGTTGCTGTGTCCTCTAGTCGGTTCCCACTCAGAACCACCCTGTATAGGGTTTTCCAGGAGCAGCTGGATAACATTATTTAAAAAACAGAACAGCTTTTTAAAACTGCACTATTAAAAATGAAAGAGACGAATGAAATGGTTAAAGATAGACCCGAGCTACACTGTTCTTCCTTCTATTTCTGGCCCTTTACGTAGCCTCCTCCCAGCCACTAATGCTTCGTCTCCAGTAGCCACACTTGGGCGGTTCCTTTTCCCTTAGAGATGCTGGGAAGGGAAGCAAGTAAAGAAAAGATTCTAGGGTGTAAAGAAAAGATTCCAAGAACAACTGACTGGGCTGAGAGGGCTGTGGTCAGGAAGAAGGGAAGGAAGACACTGCCCCTCTCTCCTCGCCTGACCGGTTTTCTCGCCAGCAGCAGCCTCCGGCATCCCTTCCATCTACCTTCTGGTGCCCGTAGAGCCAGTGAGTGGGAGGTGCGGGGTAGCAGCAGAGGTCTTGGAGAAGCCTCTGCCTCCTCAGGTAGAGCTTGATGGCCTGCAGCAGCACCAGGGCCAGGCAGAACACGAATGCCAGGTAGATTGGCCGAGCCCAACGCGTCTCAAGCCAGGAGGGTTCCATCGCTTGGCGCAGCGCAGAATGCCGTTAGTCTGGGGGTGGAGGAGAAGTTGCCTTCCTCCAACGCCGCTTATTGGGGCGGATCCCTTGGCCCACCGCGTCCTGGAGCCCTTTGGGAATGCTCCCTGCTTCTTGACAGAGGAGGAAAAACCATGGGAGGGGCAGTTCAGGCCTGGGCTAGGAGGCAAGTGTGCGTCCATCAATTGCTAAAAGCCTTCGTTTGATGCTAAAACTTAAATATATAAGTTTCGTATGCCAAGTATGAATTTTTAATCACGGAGAATCGGAATCTAGATTTTGAAATAATGCCAAGGCTGAGTTATTTTATTTTTTTGTAAAAAATAAATAGTAAGTTGCTATGAATACAGAATTCTATCAAACATTGCAGGTTTTTGGTGGGTGTGGGATCATTATACTTAACAGTGTGGCCTGCCCAGTGGAGTGCTGATAAATCGTTTAACAACCGGTTCTCACCCCAATTTCTAGCGTTTGCTAGTGGCCACCGTGGTATAATACAGCTGCCAACAGGAGGGATCTGAATACTGGAATTGGGGAAGACGTGCACAGTAGCATACTGTAGATGGTAGATAGTAAGAGGATGAGTCAAAACTTATCTGCACTCTGGCTGTAGAATTTGTTTTAATCAACTTTTAGAAAAGACAAATACATCATGTTTTTGACATAATCGCCTTGTTTTTCAATATATTTTGTTAATCAGTCAACAAGCTTTCATATTCCCTCATTAAAATATATTTTAGGCTAAGCTGCAAGCCATGAATGCACCAATTCTTCATCATAGGCAAATTCTCAAAGAGCTGTTTTCAGGGGAACCAAACAAGTGAAAGTACAATGCAACAAGATTAATACTATGGGGAGGATGTTTTAACACCTCAAAAGGAAGTTTCTGCAGAATGTCAATAGTGTGGGCAGAGGTATGCAGGAGTGCATTGTCATGCAAGATCACAATGCCCTTGGGTAGCAGTCCTCTGAGTTTCATCCCAAGTTTATGCTTCAGCTATTTAGTGAGCATCTCACTGTAATGAGCACTGTTGATTGTTGAACCTTTTTCCTCAGAGTATTCCAATACTAAGGGGCTCTGGTAGTGTAGTGGTTACGAATTGGGCTGCAAACCTTAAGGTCAGCAGTTCGAAACTACTAGCCTCCTCTGCAGGAGAAAGATGAGGCTTTTTGCTCCCTTAAAGATTTACAGCCTGGGAAACCCTGTACAGGGTCTCTATGGGTCAGAACCGACTCGACGGCACTTAAAAAAAACAACATTCAAATACTGGCCCTTGAGAATCCTAGAAAACGGTTGTTTTTGTTAAGTGCTGTCCAGTTGGTTCTGATTCATAGTGACCCTGCATCAATTTTCTAACTGATGGTTGACTTTTGAACTTTTTCTTGGTCAGTGATATTTCCATTCCATACTCTGCCATTTACTCTCAGGCTTATGGAGATAAATCTATGTCTTGTCACCAGTAATAAATTTTTTAAAAGAAATTTTTACCTTCTTTTGAGTATGGGTCCAATTTTTTTTGCAGATGCCCAAACACTTGTTTGTGCTCTTCCGTGAGTTGTTTCAGCACCCATCTTGCACAAACTTTTTGAAACCCAAGTATGTTGTGGTTATTTCATAGGCAGGGCCATGGCTGATTTGCAAATGATTTGCCACATAATCCACTGTCACTTGTCTACTCAACAGAATCATTTCACGTGCATGGTCAATGTCGTCATCAGCTGTGGATGGGAATGGATGTTTTACTATACCCTGAATGCAGATAATTTCCATGATGGCATACAATCAGGGCTGATTACATAATTTACTGAGCCCAGTGCAAAATGAAAGATGGGGTCCCTTGTTCAAAATTTATTAAGAGTTTCAAGAGGGTGACCAATACCAGCTACCACTGAGTCCATTCAGCAGGATATTAAACCAATCAGGGGTTTTCCTGAGCTGTGTGCCTTGTGTGACTGCACAGATTGTGCATCCGTGAAACCAGGCTTGGATACAATGACACAGAACACAGGTAATAGTAAAATGTAGCAAAATATTAGAAAACGATAAATTTTTAGTATTTATTACCCGTCATGTGGTAAACTAGGACCCATAGGCATGACTTCCCAAGCTACTCCCCTTGTTCCTCAGCTTTCTTTATAGACACTGCCCATACTTCATTCATTTATTTACGCTAAGCCAGGCATGCTGGATCGACAGTCCTGTACAATAGATACAACCTCTGCTACAGCTCCCTGTTTTCCTTCCACTGTCCCGCTCTCCTCAAGCCTCCATCCCATTCTCTGGAGCCATATTTTATTTATCAAACAAGGGTGGTGATTTCTGGACTAATTACTGGCCCCCTCCTATATTCCCCTAGTACCATACATAGTGATTCATGTGTCCCTTTTTCCAGACCTTCTCACCTCTGACCCTCAGCTAGAAGTCATTATTTGACTCAGAATCTTATGATTATACAGTTTCTCTGAATAACTCATGACATTTCAGTTTTTCATATTCTTCCCTCATGCCCTGCACCTTTCCCAGACAGAATAGGCTTACTATTACCCTTGATGACAAGATAATGGGGGAGAAGAACTAAGGTCCATGCTCTGCCCTCAGGATCCCAACTAGTCTCAGATTTGTGATATAGTTGCAACATGATCACTCTATCAATTATGTAACAAAAGTGATGCTTTATAACACTTTTGTTTAAATTCTGTTCAAAGGTGGGAAGGTACCCTTTGGATATCAGTCACTGGGGACTAGAAGAACCAACACATTTCTATCTCTGTGCTTTGCAGGAAGAGCAAGGAAGCACCTTAAATAGAAGAAAGGGAGAAACATGGATTAGTGTCTCCAAAAAATATCCTGTCTTGTGTTATATCTGCTTACAAATCAAAAGTTGCTGATCAGTTTCCTACAATGTATAACTTCTGTGGGTAGAGCACAGTCCTGGACTTATATGGGACTTGAGCTAACAGCAATCTCTGTAAATCTCAGTTTCCCTGACTGTAAGAAATGCAACTGACAATAGCATCTACCTCTATAGTTTTCTGATAAATAAATGGGGTAATAAATGCACAGCACTGACTACAATGATGGAACAGTTAGTGTGTGTAAGTTTTTAGATATAATTATCAGAAAACAAGAACTTCACTGAGGGAGACCCAGACAAGTAAAGTAGAGGACATGTCAGTAATGCAATCATTAAATGGCTATGCATTAAATAAATAACAGATGTATAATTTTAAAAAGTATATTTGTATTGTGATATATAATATATATTTGCTAAATGATAAATTTATCAT